GGTAATATGACAATATGAAAATGGGTCGTGCATGTACTTCCATTTGAACATGTGAATTAGGTACGCATTTTAATAATTAAAGAAAAAAACTATCAATACAAGATGAGTTATAAAAAACACAACACATTGTAATGAACATAATTTCGATTAAAACGAATCTAAAAAAAATAAAAATCTATTACCAAGACATTCACTTTTGTTAATTTCTTCAATTCCCGACCTCGAACTCCGATTGTCATTATAAACCATTTTAATCTTATAATTGTTGTCGATTTATTTTCCATTGCGTTTATCCATATTAGCTTGATCGATACCAAAAAAATTTACTGTCGTGTTTTCTATGCGAATTAAAAACTGATAAAACAATAAACATGGAAGATCAAGATTAAAAAAAATAAAAATATTAATATTATAAATGTATATTTTTTGGGATTTGATGATTTGTAACTCCTTATTAATTGTTTGGGAGTTACATATCAAATAAATTTACTGAAATACCCTTGTAATTAGAATGTGAACATGACATAAACCTACAAGAAGAATGAAATTTGATTGGTTGACATGGTTTTCAAAGTTAACACAAAATTGTTGGTTAACATTTGATCTTCCCTATATATATATATTTATATATATCACCCAAACCCAATAATTCTAACAAACTCAATTTCCGCCACAGGTTGATTTGATCCACGGTTAAAAAATTAGGGGTGGCTTAAATGTAAATTAGTTGACATTATGATTCAACTTCTGCATGTATAATTGTCATGCGAGGGTAGAATTGGTAAACCAAAATATGTACATCCCTGGGTTAAAACAACAAAAGATTCACCGGATTGAAAATCTCTATGATTCGCTTTTTTATTGAAATCTGATAACCGTTAATGTCATCCCTCCACCCACGATAATCAAATCAGAATCATAAAAAAGTTACAAACTCGTGAGAACTGACATAAAAATATTTTTATACAAACCAATTTGGACTCGAGGCTTTTGTTGTCATTGTTTGTTGTTACGGTGTTTTTTCTTCCAACCCATGCCTTTTATGTCTTCTTTAACTTGTATATTGCAATTGCATATCCAAGCAAGAACAATTCCTCTTCTTTTGGAAGGAAAAGATGTTCTTGGAGCTGCAAGAACACGTTTTGCAATTGAATTGTTATATCAATGCCCACTTCGCTCCTTGAAATGGGACCGGTGGTGTTGTTATTTGTCCAACAAGACCACGTGTCACGTTCTTTTTGCATTAGCAATTGTTGAGCTCGCTTTCACTATGATTATCTTATGTTGTTTTGATGATGAAGCAAAGATGCCAACAAATGAGTAACAAATTATTTAAGTTAAAAGTATCATCATGGTTTTTCAAAGGCAAACATCCTTCCTTGTAATGTTAAACATGCATTAAGGGTGGAAAAGACCATAGGAAAATGTTGTTAAAGTTGAATTAATAGACTTCTATGATCTTAATTATATAGATCATATTTTTTTGGAAGTATATAATATCTATATACAGTAAATGCAACAAATAAACTCACACACCCTACTCACCTTTAGTGAGGTTTGAACCCTGACCTCCTAGAAGGCCAAAGACTACAATACCGCTAGGCCAAATGCTCTTTAGTATAGACCATATTTTTATCATAGAAGAAAATTTCAGTTTCTAGACATTGATGCAATTACTAGATTGTTTTACTTATTATTATATTAGAGTATGCATGGGTTCTTGTAGAAATAATTAGTTTTCTGTTCACAGTAACTCGATATATTACGATCATGATAGTTGGCTCCTTGATTTATCTTGAACTAAACAGAATTCTTTATAATGTGCAGACAAGCCAAACTGCTCTCTTTTCTGTAAATCAGACAAAAAGGGTACAATTGTCAAGTCTAATAGTTATGATCCTTCTAGTTCAACTTATCTTTTTCAAAATTTGAGGGACAAAATCTCTCATTTACTTCATCCATTTTAAAATGTTAGTCTGTTTAAGGGGTTGTTTGACAGTTGTTGAATGGTTTGGAGCAGAATGGTTAAGTTGTCAGAATGCTTAAGAGACTTTGTATGATATAATGCAGAATGAAATATGGTTATTTGATAACTGTTCTAAACAGACAGTCCGAATGATAACAAATTACCATTTTAACCCTTTGTATGATTTAGTTCTGAATGAAATATTCACACCCATGTATTTGGGATTGCAGTTGTGCAGTTATTTTGTACTTCATTCTACAATTTCTTTCATTTTTACCCATGCAAGCTATGCAACCCTCAAACTTCCTTCACATAGAGGGATAGCTTAATGTTATTAAGGGAAAAGTCACATTTGACTGTTCCTACATGAGCTTAATGACTAGCATTGTGAACAACTTAAAAGGAAAATCCTATAATAAACTTATTATGCAATTTTGCATTGTTTTACTCTGCAACACATCTCCTAATTTATATTGTAAAAATTTATTCCATTTTTGCCCATATAAGTTATGCAACTTTGAGACTTCCTTCATATAGAGAAAGATAGTTTAAGGGTATTTTAGTAAAATTGTATAATTTGATTGCTTCTACATGAGCAAGTAACATCATATTATGAAAGAGGCCAAAAAATTAATTCCAAAGGAACCATCTATGATATTTTTGTTCTTGTACTTGTTTTAATATCTATCAGCATTTTTATTTATTTATCTACCATTTTTCTTCAGGTTAAGGATCTTGCACGCCTATCATTTCAAACAGCTCCGGTGTATATTGATGTAGATGATGTTGACTACTTTTCTGGTCATTTCATATCATAGGTTGCGAAAGTACCTGTTAAGGAGTACGAGTTTGATGAAAAGCAGATGACAAATGTACAATCTCATCTGGTAGTTATTTGCGAAAACTGTAGTTCTAGTTACAAGTAATATATTTGTCTTGATATGTTTGTTGTGTTGATGCAGGAAAAATTGGTTGCAAACAGCTATTACTTGAACAAATCGGCTAAAGATGCGTATAGATCCTACTTATTGGCTTATAACTCACACTCTATGAAAGGACATCTTTAATGTTCACCGACTTGATATGCAGGTACCATATGCTTCTTTATGTTCTCTTGAAGAAAGAGACGCTATTTAAATATCTTGTATTCCGTCACCCCTTATTTGTGGCTCTCATTTTCATTTTTACTCACTGGGACTTTGTTCGTTTGAATTCTACTATATCTTCAAGTCCTGAAATATGCTTATGGACCAGTGGGCTATAAAAATGCTCGTTGGAGTCGTAAAAAGAAAAAGTAAGATGGGACCAAGAATCGCTTTTTATTATTTCACATCACATAGATGGAGCCTCAAAATGAAAATATTAAATAAACCAAGAGTGATTATTATATTTAGATATATACCAAACAATTATATTTCATTCAAAACTAAATCATACAGATGGTTAAAATGGTAATTTCTTTATCATTCAGACTGTCCGTTCAGAATGGTTACCAAACAACTATATTTCATTCTGCACTACAGAGCCTCTCAAACATTCTTACCACGTAACCGTTCAGTAACTACCAAAACAGCCCCTAAACCTGAATGGATAGGTGCATGATGTCGAAACCAAGTGTTTATGTTTATCTACTTAATTAAACATGTTTATCTGTTGATTATGACAGGCGGTTGCTGCCACGTTTTGCTTTTCTAACCCTGCAAAGCTAAACCTGAACATAGACAGTAATACATCAAAGTTCAGTCGTAAAGTCGAAAGAAGAAACCGGAATGGATTTAGCGAAAGCAATCCTTATGGCGACAAAACCCAAGTTGTAAGATATTAGCATGCCCAGTTTTGAAGCAAATTTCGTTACAATTCATAAACAAGTATCTTAGGTGGTTTTGAATGGCCTCCTGTAGTTTATTTATATACTAGACAAATAGTTTTTTTTAAACATAACTCAAATATCATATTCCCCTGGGTTTCTTTTCATGTGCTCGTCTTCTGAACCATTTCATATGGTTATTCGGTTTGTTTAATAGAGTAACTTTTTAGGTAGGTTTAAATAAGAACCGTAAATAAACAATTATTCATCGTGAATATCTTTAATAAAAATAGTTGGTTTAACTTATTCATTATGAATAATAAATATAAATGATGATGAATATTTTTTTGAATTATAAATAATAATTTATGAAATAATTTCATTTCATATGTCCCTCCAATAAACCACGGATGCCTTTACGAGAATGCTTCAAAAATTTATGATCATGTATTTAAAAAAAAAATCACATGTGAATGACTGATTCTTATATATAAATAAGTATGAAAGAATGTTCACAAAAGTCAGGATGGCCGAGTGGTCTAAGGCGCCAGACTCAAGTTCTGGTCTTCGTAAGAGGGCGTGGGTTCAAATCCCACTTCTGACAATTTTTAAGTGATTTTTTTATTGAGATTTTTACTTTTTAGTACTTCATCTTTAAGTTGTTGTCACTTTCCACCCTTTAACATGTTAATTACAAAAAACAAACTCATTTATCATCCTGAAACCTCTGTATACTTGAACAAATACTTATTTTCTCTTGAATGCATGAGGACAAAATCTTTTTATTTAGGGAAAATTACATCAAAATAGAACTAACTTTCACTTTATTTCTATTTTGGTGAACCAACTTTTAAAATCTTCATTTAAGGGTTTCTATCAAACTTTTTGTTTATTTAAGGGTCTGGTTGACATGTGGAACAGGTAACAGATAATTTAATATGACTTGGAAGAAAATTATTTAAACAAACATTATGTGGAAATTATTTTGACAAATCATCATTGAAATTTGAACAAATCAAAATGAAGTCCGCTTCATGTCTCCTACCTCGGTCGCAATTTTGCCCCTCCCTCTTCCTTCAATCGCCGTCGTCCCATAGCCTCCTGCCGCTGTAGCTTTCTGCCCTCTCCGACAGCCACTGCCCCTCCCTCTTCCTAATTGTCGCCGTTCCATAGCCTCCTGCCGCTGTAGCTTTTTGCCCTCTCCGGCAGGCTGTCCTCTCCGCATTTGATATTTAATATTTATTGCATCAATTAATTTTTTTATTTAAAAAACGAGATTTGGAAAGAAAAATAGATTTTATTGCATTAATTTAAAAAAAAACGAATTTTAGTTAATTTTATATAATTATTTTGCAATTTTAAAATATGACGTGGATTTAAAATAAAAAATTAATATGACGTGAAATATCTTAGTTGACAAAAGATCTGGATTATGTCAGCATTAATAGGTCAACTAGACCCTTCAATAAACAAAAAGTTCGATAAAGACTCCTGAATGAAGATTTTAAAAGTTGGTTTCCTAAAATAGAAATAAGGTGAAAGTTGGTTCCATTTTGATGCAATTTTCCTTTTTTTATTTAAACTCGAGACTTTCTTGAATAAATTTCAGTCCCATGGCTAATACCATTTCTTCTTTGGTCGTAAATATTTCTCCAAGGGTAATATGTGTGGTGCTATTATAATTGAGCGGTTTGTTGTGTGTGATCGTGGGTTCTGGTGTTGGAAGTATATGAGGCATATCATGAAAACCATTGATCACCGAAAATGATCGACTGGAATGATGTATTTCTTCATTTTCTTTCTTTTACTCCCCTCCTTCACATTCTTCTTCTTTTTCATCACCATCTTCAGAATCTGAATCATCGATCTCAGGTATACCCAATTCAAAAACATCAGCAGCTTCTTCAGTTTCTTCGGTATTAGGAATCAAGTCGTTTTTATAACCATAAGTTGGTTCCTTTTGGGACACAAACTGAGGAACATACAGAAACTCCTCTTGAGGTGGAAACTGCTGTTGATAAAAAAAATGGAGCTTTTATTCTGATTTATGAGAGACAAACTGTTGATGACTCTGATAAATAGGTAGAAACTATTGTTGATAAAAAAAAATGTAGGTTGGTTATGAGGGACAAATTGTCGTCGACTCATATAAATAGACTGAGCCTCATTGGTAGGAGGGGGGGGGGGGGTTGAAACTTCCTCCGGCATTTCTTACTCTACCTGATCAAAACCACCACTGGCAGAAGTTTCGACCGACAAATAAAGTGTAGCCAGTTTTCTTGAATTGACAACAGAATCCAAAACCTGGTAACATCATCGTCATCGTCTAACTCGAAAACACACCCATGATACTTGTACGATAACCTAAACACACCTTTTAAGTCAATTCTTGTGCAACACATCTAACCAACCTGTTATGTGTAATGTTAGAACTTCCTCCGATATTTGCAAAGAACGAATGTAAATATAACGAGACAACACTTCCAAATATACAGAGAATCTCAGTAATTTTTCAAGGTCTTATCAAAAAACCGAACACGCCACAAAGGCTAATACCGTAACTCAATGTTGAATTATTATATTGGTGTTGTCAACTCATACTTAAAAAGATACTGAAAAGAAAAAAACAGGTATATTATAATAGCAAAATTCCTAATAGAATTCAAAAAACTCTTATGTGTAAGATTTGTGCATAAAGTATTTATATACTTTTAATTATGTGGCAGTTCACATTAGGGGTGTTCATGGGTTGGGTTGATCGGGTTGAAGGTATTTGAACAACCCAACCTAATGCTTGCGGTTAGAAAAATCTTAACTCAACCCAACCCAAACCAAAGTGCAACCCAACCCAACCCGTACGGGTTGATCAGGTTAGTCGGGTTGATACTTTGGTACATTAAAATATTCTTCTAACCTTGAATATGTTATTTCTCTACTCATAATTTCTTTTTCATCATCAACCATTTAATACAACTTATCCATATTTTTACGTTATCATATTCAGTTAATTTTCTCAATTTACATATATATGTTCACAGTTACTGAACATATATACAAATGAGTTATATAGAGATGTAAATAGATTGAAAATATGTGTATATGAACAACATACATGATAGTGTAATTGCCTAATGTATATATTAATAGAAATTCAACAATCATATTGAATCCAAGAAATAAAAGAATATCGGGTTCGTCGGGTTGGGTTGGGTTCAAATAATAGTAACCCAATATCAACCCAATACCTACGGTTTAACAATTTTACAACTCGATTATACATCGAGTTGCTTCGGATTGGGCTATTTCATGTTGGATTGGGTTGGGTTGATCGAGTTGATCGGGTTGGTCGGGTTTTTGAGCACCCCTAGTTCACATAGTATGTTAAAGCTGACTTGACACCCAGTGACAAATTTATACAGAAAGATTTTGTTTTCAATTTTTTTTATTGAAATCAAATCTTACACATAATATCTAAGGTTTCTACGTAAACTGATTGTTTATTTGAAACAACTTATATTTTTTTTATAAAAGCACTTATCAACTTATTATAAGTCAAAAAAATTTAATTTTTTCAAAAACTTTTTATTATTGGTTTGACACCGATATAAATTATTTATTCAAAGACTCAAAAATACTTATTATTGATGTTACACCATATTATAAGCAATCTCAAAAACCACAAGCGAAACAACTCGGATCGGCTATTTGAAAAGATCAGTTTAATGGTTGGGCTCTACCTATGCTTCTGTTACTGCAAACCCACAACGCATCTGCCCCAAATTCTAGGGCTTATAACCAGCCACTGATCTCTTCATTTACTCCTCTGCAACCTACAAATTCCATTTTTTCCGATCAAACCATACTTCTTCGATGGCGCCATCGCTTGGCCCTTACTCCGGTACCAGCACTCTCGCTTTGGTATAACTCTGCACTACCTTGGTTTCATCTATTTACTCCGGAAATGTATATGTATGTGCTTGTTTGAGTGGATTTGGTGCAAAATGGTTGATTTTATTGCTTACCTCAATGTTTATTTTATGTGATATGCAAGTATATGTTACAATTTGGTTGATTATTATAAGTTTACGGTTTCATTTATCGTTCAATCTTCAGTTTATGTGATTATGTTTGCTTGTATTTTTTTTTTCTGATTTGGAATTATTGTTTGGAGTTCTTAACATTTGAAACATTGAAATTGACGTTTATGGGAAAGGGTTTTGGATGCTGATGGAAATATAAATCCACATTGTAGTTGGGTATTTTTTGTCTGAAATCGAAAGCCAATATTTCTAACAGGTTGTTCTTTTTTACATTGTTGTAAGAACGATTGTTTGAAGGCAATAAAAAGCAATTGGTTTTGCAATTAAAACCAAGTACTATAGTAATTGCTCATTTTTCTGAAATTTTGTTTATCCCTGATATAGATGCTTTTGTGTTTTTGTCTTTCTATGTAGTGGGATTAATCTGGGTTTTGATATTACAGGTGGCTCGTGTGTCAGCCTTCTCTGCTGGACTACTTTACGGAAGTATCAAGCTCAAATACCTTAAGGTACTACAACCTTGCTTATCAATTAGTTTGATGTTTCGATATTATAATAGAACTGATTGTATCAATACTAGATCTTTCTGGTTGGGCTCTTATTCTGAAGTAATGTTCAAAAATCTGATTTGAGTTCATAACTAAGAGTTCATTGTTATTTGGATTTCTTTTCATTTCTAGTATTTGCATGCTTACCATCATAAGATTTTGTTGTGTTCTTTTTTGTTGGGTTGTATAGAAAATTAGGTGTTTTAGAACTTGATTCTGGGTGATAACATCCTATGTTCGTTTTGGACCTCGATTAGAGACACTTGATCGTCGACCATGAAAGATAATCTTAATTTGTGGACTGTTATCTCCATGAATGATACTCGATGCTACTTTATTGGTATCACTCTTTGAATGGAGTCCTTGGATTCAAAAAATTGTAAGTTATAATTTTTTGAGTTCATAATAAGTGGTTTTGATCTTATTTTGGGTCACAAATGCATCATTGAAAGACCAAAAAAGATTACATCAAACATCTTACCTATCTTATAAACTATGTCATGCTCACAAATAGAAAGCAAAGTTGCTGGATGATTTCTTGATGATGTCATTTGCTTTCATATATCATTTGATAGTTTCCTTTGCTGTACTGCCTGGATTTCCTCCATTACATATATACATTATATCAACCAAGCATGTCTCAAGGAGTTCAACTGTTCAAGTTAGGTGTTTATTTAGGCCTAATTGTTAACATTTTCGGTTTATGGGTCTCACTTATATGGTTTGAAAGGAATGAACTATGAAGCATGATTCTGGGTACCATTTAGTGTTTTTTATGCAAAAGAATATAAATTGAATTGCTATAATCTTTGATAATGTTGAAAAAGAATTTACAAGAATTGAACAGTTGTTACAAGATCCATTGCTGACTAGCAACACTAACAACACTATCACTCTGCATAAATGTGATACAAATTGGCTGTAATTTCTCGTAAATTCTCCGTGAGTAGAAATGAAAAATGGGACCCACAAAATGTGAGATTCGAAAATTGTAGAAAACAAATGGAACCTTGTAATTTTATGAACTTCAATCAGAAACATGTGAAGTTGCAGATTTCCAGGAAAGTTGAGCATCACGCGATAGCGTTTTTAGCTAAGATATTGCGAAATAGAAGTTTCAATTCTATTTTTATCTAATGAGAGTTAGAAATTCAAATCTGATTTTTATGGTATGAAAGGAACATCGTTTTGGAGACAGGCCCTGTTGATTTGTTTGGAATTGACCATCTTGAAGGAAAATTTGGGAGTATTCACAGAGAATTTGGGAAGAAGATTATTAGTTTTTTGTAGATTAATGGTTATGAACAAGAAGTAGCATTATATACAAACATAAATAACTAAAGCACTTGCATGAATAACTTTGCTGAACTTGAAAATAATATGCAAAATAAAAAGCAAATGGGGAAATATAAATATTGTCATCTACTAATTATATCTGAGGTAATTCTAACAATGTCCGCTCTCCAATTTATGGCTCCAATCTCACTTCTCCTTTATTTGAGTAAATTAGATTCACGATCCAATCTTCATATCTACTCACATTATATAAATATAAGATGAAACAGTTTCTTTTATTAGTGTTCTCTTTTCTTGAATTTGCTTCTCTTGTGGGTTGTGATGTGACAATGTTGAAAATGATGTTACCGAACAAGAAATCGAAACATGGGATAACATAAAAACCTTTGTTCAATGGTTTCTAATTCATAAAACTTCATATAATGCAAAGTAGCAACCATATTGTTGATAAATCGTTTGAAAAAAAAAAATTATATTTAGCATATAGTAGAACATGCTAATATCGACTACTTGTAGTCTCTTAAGTCAATTCTCAAATAGGTTATAAAAGAGTCATTTTATATATCATTTGTTAAAAACTAGAAAAAAGCCAGAGCGTGCATGTGCAGTAGATGCAACAACAAAAGATGACTTACCAATTCCCTGTGTAAACATCTATGACAAAATCATATATAGAGCAAGAATATTAAGTTTTCAAGTATTATTATAAAGTTTTTCAAATAAAACCCAGACAAAGTATTAATTGTTAGATATGATTAATTTATTTTTTATTATATTTAAGATAGATATATGTTGGTATGAAATTAATACAAAAAGGGAAACGAGTTTTATTATCTATTGGACAAAAAGATAAAAAAGGGAATACGAAGCAAAGTAGTAAAGCAAAAACGGGGACAAAAACTGAACAAAAACAGTGACAGCCTAGTGGTAAATTTGTGCATGACTGTGCCTGAGGATCCGAGTTCAAGGCTCGCTGCTGCACATCTCTTTTATTATTTCATAGTAGTAGCAGTAGCATGTCTAGGCCAATCCCTTAGCAGTGTAGTCTAGGATGTGGCACAATCCGTGAGTTGATGCCCTTTGGGCCGCCTGTGATGTCTTGGGCCATGGCCGGGGATGCCCACCCCTAGGGCCGGTCCTGCCCACATGTAAAAATATGATCTTGGCATATAACACTAATCTCATGCATATAATCATTTTTTACTGCTGGTTAGAGTCCTACATTGGCAAGACTTGGACCATTTCTTCTTAATATATATTGGATCCGCCCTTATGTTTACAAGGGACTTTTTGGAGAGTAATCTAATGGGATTCCACAGATTCTCACATGGTATTAGAGTCAAGGTCCACCACTGACTCACACTCCAGGAAAATCTGTGTTCATGTAGCCTCCTTTGGAGGGGGCGTGCTGGCAGGGGGATCTAACTTCCTGGTAGGGGTCAAAGGCCCCCAACAAAACCCACCAAAAATTTCCGAAAAGACGTATAAACTTTTTTTAGTAAATTTTCCTATTGACCCCCGAACAAGAAGAAGGCAAGGGTACCAATCTGTTGTCCTGATCCTATTTTCTTAGTAAAATTTCCTATTGTTTGTTCCTCTAGCCATCTGGTTCACTATGAACCAGTCAAAATTTGTTTTAATATGTAACGTGTTCATTTGCTTTAAGTTTAAACTTTATAGAAAAATATATAAACAGTATTATAATGTGTTAGCTTAACCAAAATAGCAAAAGATCAACTGAAAACGAAAATAAGTTATCTTTATTCAGTTAACCAAACCGTTTAAGCCGAAAAACGAAAACCCGAAACCGTTTTGGTTCAGATGAATTATTCAGTTTTGAAATTTTTTCGACTCCTCTAATTGTGCCCCCAACCATATAAGTTTCTGGATCCACCATTGCGTGTTGGAGTCCCACATTTGATAGACTTTGACCATTTCTTTTTAATATGTATTAGAACCTTAACTTCTTAACTTCCTGGTAGGGGTCTAATGGAGTTCCACATATTCTCACATGATATCATAGTCAAGATCCACCACCCTAGGGGACGGACACTCTAGGACAATCCGTGCCCATGTAGCCTCTTTTGGAGTCCCATATTTGCTAGACCTAAAAGACCACTTTTCTAACCACAAGGGTGGTGCCTGATTGGTTTGAGCTTGGCTCCAAAGGTCAAAAGTACCTGAAGGTCCAGGTTCAAATTCAAGGAGGAATAAAAATCCTCTTGTGGCCATAGAGGTTCAAATGCAGTAACTCCGGGCTATCTGCAAAGCAGGTGGTCGCCCTGGGCTTAGTCGGCTCGCATAGCGAGTTGGATATCCAGGTTAATCAAAAAAAAAAGACCACTTTTCTCTAGTATATGTTGGAACCTCCCTTCTCCTCAAAGTCTTTTTTGAAAGTAATTTAATGGGGTTCCATACGTTCTTTACAGTGGGTATGTTTGGTTTAGTTTCATTATCTTTAAGAAACAAGATTCACTGAAGCTGGAAAATAACTATTTACATTATTTTAAAATCGAAAACAATATCATTATCTCATGTCTCCCAGTAATTATGTATGCTGATAATTATCAGTATATCTTTGAAAAAGAGATGCAACAAATTATAACAGTGGTTAGGCTGATGGTTGTCATCTTGATCCATTTATGGGCTAACTTGTGATGAAAATTCTGTATTTTTTCTGGATTTGACTTTTTATAATTTTTGAGATGGAAATTCTTTTGCAACCATCATTGTTATGCATGTCCATCCTTTTATTTCTGATTGAATGCTTCATCTGGGAATGCATTTGGGATTTAAAAGTAACAAAGTTTGTTGTGGATGGCAAACTCGATCTTCAATCTTCGTTGTTTGATGCTCGTTGTGGTTTGGGTTTTTCAGGCGAAGGTGAAGTCGCAAAGAAAAGCTGAAGCCAAGGCACACCACTAGAAGTAAGTAGTGAAATATCTGAAATAATCCTCGAGTAAATCTTGCTCGGATCTTCAATATTGTTAGAGATGTCTTAACATGATTTTGGTGTTCTCCGATTCGACCATAGCAACTGGTTAATTACAGTTTTGGAAAGTGGGATTCTGCTACAGAATAATAGTCGTAGCTCAATTGGTCAGTTCTTGACTTTGCTTCTAATTGGTCATCAGTTTGAGTCTCTTCAAGGCCACTCATAACTTCAAGGCCCCATAAGATTACTCGATATTCATGTTAACTGGTCCGGATGCCTACGATTGCCCAAAAAACAACTTATTGTTTGACATTGTGCAGGCTGCGTATGTGATTTATGATTTTATATAGCAAAGGGAACAGTCTATTGTTACAATTCTTCGGTGCTATCGATCTTTATTGTGATCGCATTTCGTTTTCTAAGAAGTTTGGTCGGGTTAAACACGTACTTTTATCGAACTAAACCAACCAATACATGTACTAGTCGTACCCACATACAAAATAGTGGACCCAGTCAAAACTTTTAAAAAAATCCAGATTTAGAGGTTGTTTGTTTACCTCTTAATAGTTTCATTAAGAGGCAACTTCTGAATCATTAAGTGGTGAATCTTGTTTGGCAAAAAAAAAGTCGGCCTCTTAATGGTTCTAAAACTCTTTGAATGATTTTGTATCCTGGATCTCCCTTAACCATTAAGAGCCCTAATTTCATTGTATACACTTACCAAACAATTATATTTTATTTTGCACTATGTAATAAGAGCCTCTTAATCATTCTGACCACTTAATCATTGTGTATCAAACTATTCAATAAATGATTTTTTATCCTCAACAAATGATTTTTGTTCCATGCTTAAAAACCCATTCAATTTTTACAAAAAACACCCAAAACATTTGAACTTTTTTCAACAAAACCAAAACAAATACATTTATCGTGTATTGTTATGTTAAATCCATTTCTATATTAGACCAGGGACGGACCTGCTTTGGTGGTTCCGGTGGCACGTGTCACCGTATTATTCCTCCATTGAAGGGTAAAAATTTTTAGGCTCGTGAAAGGTGCAACCGTGTCATTGTATGTATTCTGAAACTACAGTGAGAACAGTTTTATTTGGTAGGTTGGTTTGCAAGGCTTTTATTTCACCCTAGACCTAAATTCGAATCGTGTTAGTGCCATTATCTTAGTCAAATGGTGCCATCGATTGAAAAAAAAAATTCGTATATTTGTTTCTTATAGTCAAACGGTGCCACTTTTTAATTTTTTTCCCTATAGTTTTTTCTAATAGTCAAATGATGCCACCGTTTGAAAAAAATTATGGGTCCGTCCCTGTATTAGACATCTAAATATCTAGTTGTTTTGTATTGTTTTGTTAAATCTTTCTCAGTATCTTGTTATTTTAGGTTTAATTGTTTATCGTATATTAATTGTTTTATATGCTCAAAGTTTCAAACCCGGTTATGTTGGAGTAAAATATATAAAATTATGGTATTATTTATTATTTCATTTAACTGAAAAAGTAGAAGAAAAAAAATGAAATTGAACCTTTTAACCTGAAAACTGAATAACCTGATACCATTTTGTTCCGTTTCTTGGAAAATTTTCGACACTTGAAAGTCGAAAATGAGGTTTGTGAATTGTTATGGCTTTTCTTCCAAGGAGCTATAGATCAAATGGAGTTGTAGATGCGTAAAACATATTCAACGTTTAGGGTTCAATCGGAGATGAGAGACAGTGGAAGGTTCGATCAGAGACACATCGCTATGAAAACTGAGAACTCCTTGGACTCCATTGGTTGGGATCTGAGCCTTGTACACCGTAATAAGGAGTTTTTGAAGAAGTTAAACCCTTCTGACTTATAATAAGTTGATAAGTGTTTTTGTAGAAAATCACAAGTTGTTTCAAATAAGCAATCCCGAACACCCCCTAAAAATAAGTTACATGTTTGGACCTTATCTTTTCGTGTTTATATTGGACAATGACACGGTCCAAAACAAAAAAGTAACGGTTTGGGACATGTGGTTTGTATTTATGCCCCTTCGTAAGTCTTTCCCTTTGGCGTAGAGGTGGATAAAAATTGGTCCCTGACCAGGCCCAAGTCGCTCTCGGTCCCAAAATAGTGATTCTGTAAGGTCCTAATCCAGACCCAAATACAAAGGTCCGATTAAGGTGTATGATGCGGTCATGAAAACCGGTCTTGGTCCCGGGCTAGGTCCAACCCGATCCTATGTAAAAATAAATTAAAATTCAATTTTTTACGTAATTCTTTTTAAGTCTTTTTTAAAGAATACGAAAGTGTTATTCTAATACATTTGAAAATATATAATTGGATCAATTAAATATATTTTTTTTGCGAGAATTGTGAACATTTGTGAGTTGGTATCTTCCCTCATACTATATGATTTATATAGAGAATAGAGGGTAAATAAAATTAAATACATTTAAAGAATACGTTTTTATTATGATTTTGTAACTGGTTTTTAATCAAATACGTTTAGGAAGTTAGAAAAACATTTAAAAAATATTTTTTTTTGGAAAAATGGGGCCGGTCCCGGGCCAACCTTGTTTTTGACGAAAACCGTAACTGGTCCTTAAAAGGCAGTCCCAATCCGGTTCAATCGGTCCCAGGCCAAACCTTGTTTTTTGACGAAAATCGTAACTGGTCCTTAAACGCCAGTCCCAATCCTGTTCAATCGGTACTGCGCCGGACCGGGCCCAAGTCAGTTCCGGTATCGGTCCTGAAGAGGGCCGGACCCATTTGACCATTTCTACTCTAGCATTAGTTAAATCCATTTTGCTAAATCAGGGGCATTGGGGTTCTTTTACGTTTTTATATTATTTCTATTAATAAATTTAAAAAAATAAAAGTAGTTTTATATATATGTAGGGAAGGGTTCAAACGAGAACCCCTGTAATTTATGAAAATGCGAGAACAACCTATTAACCTCATATTGTTATAAAAATAAAAATTAATTTAAATTAAAAATGAAACTAAAAACAATTCAAAAAAATTTGAAAAGCAAAAGGGTAATATTGGAATTCAAAGCGATAAATTTTTAAAAACACTATCACCCTAAACCCGATAATCTGGGATAATATAATGAGCTATTATGGTTGTCGCTAAGGATTCCGCTCGGCTAGGATTAACTTAAGAAATCGACTATACGATTTGATGTGATATGAGTGTGATAATCAACCTCATCAAGAATTACACTAACATACAATTTCAAATTGGGATGTTTATCACATATGATAAACATCAAAATTCTCAATTGCAAAACTATTATAACGTTAAATTCAAATCAACATGTATCAATAACTATAAATCGACAAAAAATGTTGACATTCACAATTTCATGTACCTTTTATCACGTGTGATAATAAAAACCCGTATTATTATAGTCCTGATGATAACACAACTGATTTAGAAAAAAGCTACGAACTATTATTATTATCACATTATTATCGAACCTTCATCATCATCAACAGAAATATCTTCAAACTATTTCAAATTGGGATGTTTATCACAAGTGATATAACATATTATATATATATATATATATATATATATATATAACATATATATATAGAAAATTTTGATACGTTATAACATATAAAATACAGAGACGAAACACGTAGTTTACTCAATATATTATTATCGTCACATATTTTCTTAAAAAAAGAAAGAAGTAAACTCCACTTTTGATCCTATGGTTTCTTTGAAAAGTTGAAAATCATTTGTGTGCTTCAATAAGTATCGAAATAGTTCTTGTTTCAATGCAGAAAGACAATCGAGCCTCTATTAAAGGTGGCAGTAATGTCTAAACGAATGTCGTAGCCTGATCACCTACTAAGAGTGTATCTGATACCAAATAAACGATCACAAGCAACCAAGAAAACATTCTGCAGAACACATCAAAGACCCATACACCAGGATCAAGATGCGATTCACGAGGTAAGAGATAACACAAAGGTAGGAATACAGTGCACTAGTCACATGTTGGATGTTGCTCACACTCGCACACGTAGGACCTCTATGCGACTTTGGATGCTGCTCCAAGTCGTGTAGGAGGTCGCGACTTTTTCTTGTCTTGCATGGGAATTGGGCACTAACCCACATCGGGGTTAAGGTCGCAGGATCAAGTATGGACCCGATAAATTAGTTTTTGACTCATTTTAAGTTTAAAAGGTCAATATATTCAATGGAAAATGACTCGAGAGATCTCCTCTCACCAAATTCAAATTAGATACAGGTGATTTGGCTTACATTTTTATTTCGTTATCATTCGGGTAAGCTTTTGTTGTAACATATCTACACATTTATAGAATTTCACACACACACACACACACACACACACATATATATATATATATATATATATATGACAACAATGGGTTCTTTTTTGTTCCAATCAAAGCTTGTGTTTTTGTTTTGAAAATAGGTTTTGATTTTGGATTTGGGTTTGCTTTTAGAATTAGGGTATGATTTTAAATTTGCGTTTTATTTTGGAATTAGGGTTTGATTTTAGATTTGCGTTTTATTTTAAACAATCACATGAACCAAAAGTGTAATTTACTCAATATGATAATAATACATATCTTAAATACTTTTAAATGAAAACAAATGATAATCACTACAGCAAAATCGGGTTTGTAGGACACTCTTAAATTATAAGTGTCCCAATAGATCTCTTTATAGGACTTGGTTATAGGGCCAAAAAAATAAAGTGTCCTATCTAAAGATGTTGTAATAAGTTTATATGACGTTTTTTGACGTCATAATAAATTTTTTAGGACACTTTTAATATAAAGTGTCTCATTATCAACTTTACATGACACTATTTAAAAAACTGTCCTATAAAAACAAGTGTCCTATAAAAATTGAATTTATAGGACAATTTCTCAAAGTGTCCTATAAAGTTGCTAATGCGACATTTTGTATTAAAAATGTCCTCAAGAACTTGTTAAGACGTTCAAAAGCGTCATATAAACTTATTTCAACACCTTTAGATATGACATTTTATATTTTCGTCCTATAAATTAAGTCCTATGAAACGGTCTGGAACATTTAAAGATTGTGGGCGTCCTATAAACCCAATTTTGTTGTAGTGAATATATTTTACTTGCACTCCAACTTTAAAAATAAATTGAGATATTAAAAATTAAGTAAAAATTGCACCAAAATGGAACCAACTTTCACCTGATACCTATTTTGGGGAACCAACTTTCAAAATCGTCATTTTGGGGAACCAACTTTCACTTGATTTTTATTTTGGGGAACCAACTTTCAAAATCGTCATTTTGGGGAACCAACTTTCACTTGATTTTTATTTTGGGGAACCAACTTTCACCTGATTCCTATTTTGGGGAACCAACTTT